TATTGCCATTCTCCACACCTCAGTTCAACTGTGAGTGGGTAAGTTTATATTTCCTTATTTCCCTTTCAGGGTCAGTAATGTACATCTTAGAGCCCAGTTTGTGATGAGTGGTGTCTGTCTAGGTATACTAGTCAATAAGTCCACACTGTATGGCTGTTTTTGTCTATAATGGCCACTGATGAGATGAGATATTCCACAAGACTGCTAGTAGGTTCATTCTGGGGTGTTTTTGGTAAGAACTATGTCCACCCTAGACTGTAACAGCTCATGGACTATCATGAGTAAAGCAGTGTTGGTATAGCTGCCCATCCCTCCGATTCTGGTTAACTAAATCTGGGCCAGCGTGCTGATAAAAATAGGGTTTTGTGGTCACCTATTGCACTTTATTCAGTGTTGCATTCCTCCAGACTCCCCACTGTGTTGTTTCCCTCCTCTTCGAGCGGAGTTTAAGGTCCTTGCTATAACCAGCTCCTAGCTGCTGGGGTAGTGGACCATGGAGGCATCCTTCTGAGTGTGTTCAATCCCATGCAGTTGAGAATAGGGTAGTGGTATTCTGTCAGTGTAGATGGTGTGAACCCTCTTCCTACTGTGGATTAGATGTACAATATCCAATGCCATCTGGTTTGTTATGGACTGGAGATGATCCACTAAATTGCAATTCACCCTTCCGGCTAGGACCCCTCATCCTACCATTGCCCGTATGTCACTTCGAGGGTGGTATGATGTTGGATTAGAGCTGGACCAGCCAACATAAATCCTCATATGTGGCTGGTAGGGAGTCCTTGTCCTACTGCAGACTGGAGGATAAATTTCCAATGTTGCCTGGTTTTGGATTTGAGTGAATCACCACATTGCATTCCTCCTTCCTATTGTCACTTGGATGTCGGTTTCTGGGTGGCCTGGTTTTAGTTGTGTTCTGGGTTTGTACACTTGCCCTGCTTGGGTGGTTGGAATGAAAGTTATTTTTCCTAAGTTTGAGGTGAAAATGGTTGGGACTCTCTTCCTACTGTAGACTGAAAGACAAGTACCCGATGCTGCCTGGATTTGGATTGGATTTGACCCACCGATTGTGGTCTGTCACATCCTAGCCACTCTACACCATTTGGCATGTCCAGTTGCTTAAGGTTGGGCAATTTTACTGCCTGATTTAGTGACACGTATTTTCATGATGGGTGTAGAGTATACCTGATTCAGATGTGGTTCAGTCTCCCATGGATATGTTCCTCTACAGAGAGATGTCACTCTATGGGCTCTCTTCAGATGCTTTCTGAAGTGTGCTCATATAGGTAAATTTTGCACTGGTCCCTCTGTCATGTCAATGTGGAATTCTGTATATTTTGTTAGAGGAAGTAAGGTATCATATCAGAAGTTATAATTTTCCTAAACTGATAGATACTTTCCAATAGGTACTAACATCTACTTCCTCCCCAATTCCAGTACTTCTTTTTTGCCTAATCTCCATGGGAAGATTGAGTTATATGGTATAGAGGGAGCCAGCTGTGCCAGGAAGGTGTGTCTCATTCTTATTGGTGGGAATTTGTAGGTAAGTATCTATTGGAAATACATTTTCAGTTTAGGAAAATTATACCTTTAATAAAGTATTTCTATTAAAGATTTGTCTATGAATTTCAGATCCCCTTACTAAGTATGTCTGAGTGGGTGGTGATTTCCATGCTAAGAATAAAAAATAATTTTTTTCCATCTTACAGTTGTCATATTTCATTTGCATAACCTCTAGAACGACTGCATTAATTCTGAGCTTGTTAAGAAAAATTGGGAAATGTACAAAACAATAAGACTACTAGGCTAGATTATGTTTCCCCAAGGGTTATGAAGGAGGTTAAAGATTGGATATGTGAGCCACTTACTATTATTTTTTGTCAGTCCTTGAATAGTGGGCAGGTACAAGAGGATTGAAAGTTAGCTAATGTAACTCTTCTTTTCAAGGGAAGTGATAAAGATTGTCCCAGTAATTATACACCCATTAGTCTTACATCAGTTGTGGGAAGAG